AAAAAAAAAAGAAAAAGAAAAAAGAAATTAACCTGAGAAAAACCATATTCGAAACAAATTTGCATATTACCACAAGATTACAAACCTTGCCTTGTTGCATAGAACAGTCTACACATCCCACTTGAATATTTCCATGTTTTGCTCCTGGGATTATCTGTAATCGTTCGAAATCACTTCCCAGTATTACAATATCACATCCAGATGCATAAGCCTAAAGACAAGATGAATGACAAAAGTGTTAAGAAAACATTAATCATGCTGAATACTAGCATTAAAAGTTGTAAATAGACGAATTTTAAATGTACATTTAAAAAAAAATCTGAATTTGGAACTATTTCTCTTATCTCCCATAGTTCTCCCTTCAGCAAACTGTCAGTCCAATCTGCAAAACATGTATCAACCCTGTCCATTTATCTTCACTGAATGAATGAATGCTACTGCCCTTGTCTATGTCACCATCACCTCTCTTCCACACTACTAATAGTCTGCTGCCATTCTTGACTCCCTCTAATTCATTACCACAAACAGACAAAAGTGACCTTCCTTTAAAAATGTTTACTGCACCAAGTAATGTTCCCTGCTTAAATCCCTTCGATGGTTCCCCACTATACCAATATAGTGATCAATAACCCGAATGATTACCCTTTTACAAACCCATCTCAGGCTACTCTTCCCTTCTCTTGTTTGGCTCCTGCCCCTGTCTGCGCTTCCTTCTGTCCCCTTTTCCATAGCAAAGTGGATTATCTGCTTTTTATTTTACTTGGTTTTTACCTAGCTAGCTTCTTGTCAACATTCAAGCATTCAAGTCTCACTTCCAGACCATTTTTTCTCCCATTACTTGCCATCACATTACTGTTTCTTTTTTTTCTTTTTTTTTTTTTTGAGATGGAGTCTCACTTTGTCGCCCCTGGTAGAGTACTATGTCATTAATGCTCACGGCAACCTCAAACTCTTGGGCTCAAGTGATCCTCTTGCTTCAGCCTCCCAAGCAGCTGGGACTACAGGCACATGCACAACGCCTAGCTACTTTTGGAGACTGGGTCTCACTCTAGCCTAGGTTGGTCTCGAACTTGTGAGCTCAAGTGATCTTGCCCACCTCAGCCTCCCAGAGTGCTGGGATTACAGGCCTGAGCCACTGCACCGGCCCACTATTCATTTTCTTCGTAGCATATATTACAATGTGTAAATGTCTTGTTTATTGTCCATTTCCAGTATTATAAGTTAAATTCCAAGGAGGTAGGGTTCAATTTTATCCTGCTCAGGCCTCAATTCTAACAGAAGAAACTAGAATACAGCTAGTAATTTATAAATACCTAGAAAATAAATAAAATATTTAATGTCACAAAACAGCCATCGTAACCAAATAAAGGAGTACATAGCTCAAGGCTTGTTGGCAAGCATTTTATAGAAAGAATTCCAACCAGAATTCTCTTTTTTCATCATTTTCCCTGCTCCTTTTATTGCTTGATTGCAGAAGGTTCTTCCGTCACAGAGTCCACAGCTAGCTTCCTAAGATTCTCATACTATAGGCCAGTATATGATATAACAGACTAACAACAATAAATTGTTTTCCTTCGTAAGTTCAAAAAGTTTTAGTAATTCTTTCTTACCACTTTTGCATATGTATGTATATATTTTTTAATTTCTTTAAATTATACTTCATATACTTTATCGCCTTATGATTCTTTATCAGGTCACCAGGGATAGTGAAGAATGTCCATAATCTCATTTATTCCAGAGGCTGAGGGGGGGATTACTTGAGCCCAGCAGTTGAATCCACCCTGGGCAACATAAAGAAACCCCATCTCCAAAAAAAAGAAAGAAAAGAGAAGAGAAGGGAAGAGAAAAAAGAAAATAAAATAAGAAGAAAGGAAAGAAGAGAGGAAAGGGGAGGGGAGGAGAAGCTGGTCTCAAACCTATGAACTCAGGCAATCCACCTGCCTTGGCCTCCCAACTGCTAGGATTACAGGTGTGAACAACCACACCCAGCCAGCCTTAATTATATTAGACTAAGGCTTCTTTACCCACTATTCATCAATTCAATCAGCATTTATCAAGCACTTTCTAGTGGTAGGCATTAGAAT